GGCATATGTACTACAGCGTCTCCAGCGCTTTCGAACGGCAATGTCCGTGGCTGTCTCCTCCTGATTGGTGGAGTTGGCCCAATAGCCGTAGCGCCACTTCTGTGACGTCATAGAAGTGTTCAAATCTGGATCAGTCTGTATCAGATCCGTTGCAGCCCCTTTTTAAGAGATTTGGGTATGGAGGAAAATAGAGAGGGTTGTGTTTTCTGACACTTGGTGAGTTCCCTGGAACACCGGGGACACATATTTATGTATAAAAGACGTACAAAAGTGCATTTTGCATGATAGGTCACCTTTAAGCTTCAGTTTAAGACTCACCCTGTAATAGATCTAGAACATGTGATGGAGCATTACTAACCTGACTCAGATGGTTTCACCAAACCATCTAGGAAAGCTCCATTGGAAGCCATTTGGAAAAGGGCAGGCACTTTCAAAAATACGTGGCAGGTGATTGGATCAATCTGTCTATCACCTTCTATCATGGGCCACTTCTGATTGGTTTACAATGGCTGGATGTGGAGCACAAGCACAGCACTTCTGATTGGTGTGGATGACTGACACACAATAAAAAAAAAGTTTAAAAGAAATCGCAGGCTTTGCGATTTTTTTAATTGCATAATTTCAAATTTCGATTTAAAATCGATGAATCGTTCAGCCCTAGTTTGTGTCACTTTTTAATGCTGCTCAGAATAACCCTCCTCACTGACTGTTTGAGGAATAGTTTTTTCGAAAACAAGCTCACTTCCTTCTTGCCGCTCGATCGATACCACTCGCACGTCTGTATGTTAAATGTAAAGATTCATTCAACAGCTGTTAGATTAGCAGAAAGACTTGAAACAGCTAGTCTAGTTCTGTCTGTTTTTTTAAACTCTGCGCACAGTACCAGTCACAAATTCACCAGTTTACCTCTTTTGTTCTATTCAAAAGTGTAAAGCAATTCAATTTGATATCACGGAGTCTTGTTACTGTGCGTTTGCCAGGCAATTAGTTGAGAATATAAGGCCTAGTCCACATGTAGGCTGGGATTTGTTCAAATTATAGTGAAAAATCCCTTCCACACAACCACTGTTTATGAAAAATCTCTGCCCAAATGAAAATGCACAGTTGGAGCGCTGAAAAGCCCAAAAGTCAGGTTGGACCCCAATCAAATGAAGTGTTGGATATAACCATGTAGTATTGTGATGCCTCTGTTCCTCAATATAGTGGAACAGTAAATGTACAATAATTGGTAAGCTTGCATGTTTAGAAAACTTCTACTTATAAAGTTTGAACCAGCACTATTTTGGCCATGTCCTCTGTTTGCATGGCCTCGTTTTTTGACACCTTACAAAATAACGCATGTGCACACTTTAATGTTACAAGCTGAATAATGTACCCATCGACACTGAAAACTTGACTCAAAAGCTGTATTTTCAGTCACTTAAAACCCCTTGTGGGTGTGGAGAAAAAACCTGAACACTTAAAACAAAAAGCAACATTTTTTAAATGCCAATGTATGTGTCGACTGGGCGTGAGGAGGAAAACCCACTGAAGCTGTTACGGTTCAGTGTTGGTATGGATGAATACAACAAGATATAAGAAGTGAGTTGCTTTAGAGGTGCAGGTAGGTGGATGTAGCTCCTTCCGGGAAAAGATAAGCTAGCTGTTTGTGCTAAGCTAACCACATGCTGGATGTAGATGGGTATTGACTGTAGCAAATTCCCCAAAGTGTGTGTGTGTGTGTGTGTGTGTGTGTGTGTGTGTGTGTGTGTGTGTGTGTGTGTGTGTGTGTGTGTGTGTGTGTGTGTGTGTGTGGCCGCGCGCCTCAATCTTCCTGATACTCCACCACAAACATTCTCCATAGTTTGTTTTACCATATAAGGCAGTGTGCGTCCCTGGCAGCCGGAGAATGCAAAGCGGTTGCTAAAGGAAGGGGCATGGCCACGAGACGGAGAGAAAACCAGCTCTGAAAGAAAGAACAATCAAAGGGAGGAAATGAAAGGATGTCGGGCAGCACACTTCCTGTCACTTATTTTTAAGATCCTCTTTTGTAAAGTCACATTACCATCTATCCTGAGAGTGTGTTAGGCTTGTCATAAGACTATAGTTCTTGTGACCTTTACCTGAACATTGTCGTCTGTTATCTGTGTGGCTATCTCTGAATACTCAAAGTGTTTGTGTGCTTTAAGCATTGGTTAAATAAAACTGCAGAAGGGAATTTACTTTCAAACATTCTCTTCAGGACTTACAGGAAAAGCTTCTCTGGTCATGGCTGAGTGAATTAGAGGCGTGAGAGTGTGTACTTTATGCTTTCTTACTTTACACAAGGCTATGTCTGTCTGAAAGGGGATTCCCCCATCTGTGAGTGTGAACATTTTATAACAGAAAGCACCCCAGGTTGCACACATTTGGAGATATATGTTACCGGCATTGTGGCGTTAGGGAAGACTTTGGTTTGTGTGTTACTTGACGACACGTGCGGGAAACCTGCCTGGTTGCTAGCTGCTGATGTTTGTTTTAGAGCAGCAGAGATTGACAGTGACTGTTTGCATGTTTTTGTGTGTCTGCAAGTGCATCTACAGCGTCTGACGTGCCTGTGTGGCTCACCTAACGCTCATGAATAGCATGTTTGTTTGTGTGCAGACTGGTCCACTGCATTGCTTCACTCCGGACTCAGGGAGTTAAAATACTTGTTATTTCAGGCTCTGATTAAATTCTGTTTGCCGTTTCTCAGCAGCGACATGAAGTGTTGACCTTGCTGATGAGATTTCAAGATGTTTGACCGATTTATGGCTTTTCATTCATTCCGTGTTAGGTTTGGTTTTTCCTCCTATCAAGTTCTGGTTGTTTTAAGGCATGTCAACGCTAGTTCGCAGACATTTCCTGTCTCATATCAGCGGCCTCCCCCTGTGGGTGCAGCAGGGCAGGACCTGGGAGAGGACAGAAAGAGAAAAAGAAGGAGAGGTGGAAAGACTGACTGGCTGGCTAGTCAGCAGTCTAGGGTGACATGGAGAAATTAAAATAGGGGCCTGTGCCAACAAGAAGGAAACCATGCTTTCATTTCCTGAAGTATGGAGTGTATGACAGAATGGAAGAATAGACTGTATCGAGGTCTATTTATTCCCAGCTCAAACAGACTTAATAACTTTTCCATTCTTTCTGAGCTCTTCTCTCCACAGTGTTACCTTTCCTCCTCACTGCCCATCCTTTCTTTTTACTTCTCTTAATGACTTTATCTCGCCAAGATCATATCATCAGCATGACTCACATACGTGTAGGCTGAAGTGCAGACACTTTAACTGGCAGCTTGACTCCTGGCTAATGAGTCACTGACCTACAAACTGCTGCCCTGCCACTGAGCACAGAAAAGCGTCTGTTTGTCTAAGAAATCCCCAGCTGCTTCACTTTAGCAACACAGGGACTAAACTTGTGTGAGTACTCGGGGTTTGAATGGATAATTCAGCTTTGTATAGCAGTTTGAAAGTGCAGTGATGTGCTGTTTGAGCAGACTGGTTGTAAACTTTGTAACAGTGGACGCTCTCTTTGTGAAACAGACTTGGACTTGGACTAGTTTCCAGATTGAAAGCGGCTCCCTAGGAGGATCAACTGTGTGTCCAGCAGAGAGGAAATGCCTGTGTAGTTGTCTGTTTGCTTTCTTTTTCCTCTCTCAGCCTTTTGTTGACAAAGGGCAGATGAGAAGAATCCCATTCGTCCGCCCTGCTTGGCCCAGCTCTGAATTCACAGTCACCGGAAATGAAGTCTTTGTAAACGTTTCATTCACATCCAGAGTCCTGCGATGTTTAGATATTACAAAGGATTACTCTTTCCAGGCAGACTCAGCAGTTAGTGGTTGTGTTTTTGTAGGTAGGCCATGCCTTTATACTGAACATTCTCCAGCTGTCTCCATTTCACCTATTATTCCTACCTAAGCTACACAACCTTTGATTTGGGAAACATGAGCATAGGAGGAACAGATATCTCACAGATGGAATCGAAAGCATTTTAGTTTGTGTAGTTTAAACTTTCTCATTTGTATTTCATTCTTGTGTACAGAACACAAACACAGTAGAGCGATTAATAATAATTAAATCAACACATTTTACACAAATGTTATTTCAGAGTAAGAGGTTAGGCAAAGCAATTTTATTTATTTTATTACAGGGCAGTTCAAAGTGCTTTGGAAAAGCATTTAGACGAGAAAGAAATGCTTGAAAAAGCATTTCACCAAATGTTTGTTTACCTTGCTCAATCGATTAGCATTTTAACAGCTTTCCAAATAAAATGCACTGTAACTTTGCAGTGGTGAAACATGGTGAGTGCTTTCTTCATAACTACTTTGAAATATACAAAAACATTACCAAAACTACATCATCCTGAATTTTCACAAGCATCTTCTTTACTTTCCTCGTAAACGTAAGAAACCACAGGAGTGGGTTTTAGAAGTGGAACATACCTAGCTGTAGCATAGAAGGTAAACACAATTAAATCTGTGCTTAGATGTTTCCGTTTAAGACATTTTTAACAACAAGAAACTGTTGTTGCCCTGCACTACTTGTATGAGAAGCTCATGGATAAAATGACTGATTGAAGCTTCCACATTTCGGCTGAGACACGACATCACACGGGGTTCCTGGGAAATAAACTTTGATCCCAGTCTTGATTTTATTTTATTGCATTGCAACATGATCTCAGAAAGAGCTTAAAACAATAAGGTATGAGTTCAACTAAGTTAATCTCAGCTAATATATATCAACTTCAATTCCCTTGTGTTTAGAGAGGAATAATAACACGGTTGTTTTTTACACCGTTTATTTCGCTGCACAGAACATTTGAAAAAAGCTTCAGGTCCATATTTCCCTTCGAGCCATTCATACTTTTCTCAAGCTTCCCCCCTCTGCCCTCTTTGGGCCTTTTCCTTCTCTTCCTGTTTTATGACGGGAAAGAGGGGGAAGGGGAGACCAGCTTGGATGATTTAAAGTTGAATGAATGACTAAATGTCTCCTTGTTTCCTCTCCTGTCAGGCGGAGGGAGATGTAGCCGGTCTGAACCGTAGGATCCAGCTGGTGGAGGAGGAACTGGACCGAGCCCAGGAGAGGCTGGCCACGGCGCTGCAGAAGCTGGAGGAGGCTGAGAAGGCCGCGGACGAGAGCGAGAGGTACATTAAAGGGGACCTATCATGCAAAATGCACTTGTTGATATCTTTTATACATAAATATGTGTCCCCGGTGTGTCAGGAAACTCACAAAGTGTCAGAAGACAAAACCCTCTCTCTTTTCCTCCGTACCCAAATCTCTAAAAACGCGGCTACAACGGAGTTGATCCAGATTTGCGTCCGATATGACGTAATATCTGAAATGTGGACCCAAAGCACTATCAGAAACAATGCGCGACTGTTTTGGACGCAATGTGTTGTGTGTTTACATTAGCAAGCATCGCTAACACTCAGAGCTAACCTGTACTGGAGAGAGTATGTGTAAAGAAGCAGGAAATCAAAAAAGGAACTCACTTTGTGATAAACCCGCAAGAGAAAAAGCATTTGAGCTCCATACTGTTTCAGAAATAATCCTTGATGTGGTTTGGAACTTGATGGCGTTTAATCACAGCAGAATTTAACTTTATCTGCCGGTATAATTCTGATCAGGCATTAGCTCCGCCTCCTTTTTTTTTTTTTTTCAAGCTAAGGACCCAGATCAGCGTTTCTCTAACAGGCCTGAAATAGAGGGATATGAGGGATGTCTAAAATCCATGATCTGTTTGGTATTTTGAGCAAAACACATCATAGACATGTTTTTATATATATCTGAGACCCATAATATATGCCTAAAAATAGCATGATAGCAGACCTTTAAAACGTTATTAAAACCTTATTTAACCGACATTTTCTTTAGATTGAAATGTTGTGATAGTTTCTTTATGTATTAGAGAACATGTGTTTTTACCTGGCTATCAAAGCGTCATTGAAAACCTTTTTTGTGTCTTGTCCAATCAGAGGGATGAAGGTTATTGAGAACCGAGCGGGTAAGGACGAGGAGAAGATGGAGATCCAGGAGATTCAGCTAAAGGAGGCCAAACACATCGCAGAGGAGGCCGACCGCAAATACGAGGAGGTGAGACTGACTTCCTGATTTTAGTCCTTATTTTCACCTACTCTTGTCTTTCGGATTATGTTAAGTCTAAAATGTTTAAATGTTTTCTCCCCAGGTGGCCCGTAAGCTGGTGATCCTGGAGGGAGAGCTGGAGAGAGCCGAGGAGAGGGCCGAGCTCTCAGAATGGTAAAAAGCATTATCATAACTCGAAAACACACTAGGGCTGTACCCGAATATTCGTTCGTTGGAGTACTATTCGGGTTTCAATTTCGTTATTCGGATGTTCGTTTTTTTTCCGTTTTTGATTGAATTTATTGAAATCTCCCATATCAACGTAAGGGCTTGTGCCTCTTCGGGGGTGCTAACACTTAACCATAAACTTTATCGTTTACTTTCTCCGTCTTTATATGTAGATATTACTTTTCTCCGTTAATCTAAGTCACGTTGTTTCCTTAGCAACAACAACTTCCTGTCAACAGTGCTAACTCTCCTTCAAAATAAAAGCATGTCCATAAAAAATAGGAAGCCAAGCCAAATTACACTTTCAACTGCAACGAAAGTAACAAACACAATGCGATATCCTTTTCAATATCAAAGAACACAAATTGGGTTGTATACATTAACAAATAAAACAACAATACTGTAGAATAACAAAATGAATGCCATGAATAAACCGAAATACATACACGTGTTGAAGCGGTTCGCTGCTGATTACTACGCCCCGCCCCCCCCCCC